ACTAGTTAGTCAAAAATTGGGTGATTAGTCGAAAAACTGGACAAACTTTAAACTAGGTAAATACCCTTCTCGACGGCTAACTCATCGTGATTTGGTCGAAAAATGCCTCAAAAGCCTCGGAGGTCGCTGGAATCTTGGTAGACTTTAAACGTTCAACTTCTTCAATACTCAACGAAATTGAGTGATTCAAATCATACTTCTCAACGAGACGAAGAGAACGGTACCTTTCTCGACGGCTAGCTTGCCATTATTTGGCCAAAAAATTGCCTGAAAGGTAACGACTCAACTTGGGTTTCGATCCTGACGATCCGGAAGGAAGTTCAAGGTAAGGTTGGGTGCTCTGGGTTCATGAGGACGAGACGAAACTCGTGGTGCTCTTGGTTTGGGCAGTGGTGATGGTGGTGCTCCAGTCTCGGCCCCGATGATTATATATATATATATAGAGAGAGAGAGAGAGAGAGAGAGAGAGAGAAGAGAAAGAGAGGAAAGTGCTGGAGTGAGAGAGATGGGAGAGAATAGAGAGGAGAGAGAGTCCCGGTTTGTGGTGGAAGAGAGGAAGCATGGCAAGAAGAGAATGGGGAGTTTTGGGATGTGTGGGCCCCACAAGTCAAATATAAATTAATAAATATTCAAAATATCCAAACAGAAAATGTTAAAATAATAATATCAAAATATCAAAAAAAAAAAAATATATATATATATATATATAATATAGTAATTTTTCACAAAAGTATTTCTCAGATTCGTAATTCTGTAAAATCTTCATCATAGCTCCAATTTCGATTCTGCTTGTGCCTACGCGTTCGTACCGTCAAATACTTCAGGAGTACGGTAAAGTAATAACTCATACACGTCACAAACTAATGGTCAACGAAAGTCAATAATCTCGCATCTAGGGCATTTTCGTCAATTCATTCTTTTAAAATTTATAAAATCATAAAATTAGAGACAGGTTGTCACAGTTTCTGTTTTATTATTTTATCTTCGTTGTTGTTTTGAAGGAAAAATTATATGAGAGATTACTCACATCTGTGCAAATTGGATGCTAAATTCTTCAACGAACATGCCAATATGGCATGTATAACGATAACACCATTATCATAGTAAACGAAAATGAAATCCACCATTTTTAATCCCTTAGTGACTAAGGAACCCAACTCTTGATTTTGAGGAACCTAACTCTTGATTTTCTCATGTACAATATATAAGGGTAAAATGATACTGATGGATATAAAAGAATTTTAACTACACTGATTAACTTCATTTTTTTTCTTTTTTTTTTTGTTAATCAGAAATTACCAAAGTGATAATAACAACCAAGCATAGTTCAGTTCGTGAAACCAAATTCTATCAACCAAACAAAAAAATTGTAATGGGTAGTGTGCAATTTATAAATTTCTTTTTTGTGTACAGTGGGCGGGTGCAAAAAGACTAAGTTAGATGATTGAAAATAATAAGAAATTATTGTGATGGACACACACCCACAATTTATAAAATAATCACTTAATAAATATGAGCATATCTAAACAACACATATTTGAGGCGCGTAGCGCTTGCGATGCAAAAATGCCTCTCGTTTGCATGTGCGAAGAGGCTAGTATAATTTAAGGGAACTTTCATGAAAATGACTTGGACTAAGTTTAATTTAAAAAAAAAAAATCATGTTATAACTTTATTTAATGAAAAAGACTTAAATTTTAATGAAAAACTCTTAAATTTTAATTAAAAAGACAAAAAAAAAAACTTAGATTTTAATGAAAAAGACATAATTTTAATATTTTTAAAAAAATTGACGCACGGACCCACGCGCCCCTCACACAAACTGTTTATGAAACTTAATGGTACTATACTGTTTATGAAATTTAACGATACTACACTGTTTATAAAACTTAACGGTAAGACACTATTTATGAAATTTTCTACACTGTTTATGAAATTTAATGGTACTACATTGTGTATGAAATTTAACAATAGATGCTCGTCCCGGATTTTCAAGTTCTTTCACCATAATGCAATAAAAAGATAAAATAAAATAAAAAAATGATAGAGATCAATGTCCACGCCGTTAAAGTCATGCATGGCTAATAGCTCAATACCATTACTAGAAAAATGAGTAATAAGTCCAACGATGTTGTCAATGAAGTTGCTCCACCACTACCCCTAACCATCCCAACCCATACTTGACTAACTCCCTCCCAACTATGCCGCCCCAGATGTGATTCTGAATCGAATATAACCCACTTCAATTTGAAATTTTAATTTTAGAGAAATAAAATATGCTTAGATTATGTCAAAGGGTTATGCAACTGAAGGATTGGTTGGATGCTCTTTGCACACTCCTTTAGTTAGGTTTTTTTTTTTCCTTTCTTTCTCTTGTCCTTATCATGAAATAAAGTTATAGAATAATTTTTTTATTAAAACTCAAAATTTTGAAGCCCTTTTCATTAATTTTCTTATAATTTAAAGCTTCTTTCTTTGACTTTTCCCAAACTGTTAGCATGAATTTATTTTCTTTATGGATTTAACCTTACGTACATATAAAAAAAGGGTAATTTTGTATAAAATCAATAAAAAGTTACAATATTGACAATAGATCAACAATATTTATGTTAATTATAAATAGGTCAATTATGTATTATGATACTTAAATGCATTTAAAATAAGGGAAGTGTTATTAGCACTCCAAAAATCTCATTGTACACTCCTCACAAGTGTATTTTTCTTTCCTAATATAGAAAGTTTGGAGTGTAGAATGAGATTTTTGGAGTGCTAATAACAATTCCCTAAAATAAACAATGATTACAAAATCTGCCGCTACAGTTGTCATCCACTTGAACTGACACTGATACACCTCGACCGAAATCAAGGCATGATGATTCACTGGGAAGTTCTCGTGTGAGTTCCCAAAAACAAAACCGTGAGGGCGTGGTCGGGGCCCAAAGCGGACAATATCGTGCTACGGTAGTGGAGCGAGCCCGGGTTGTGGTGGGGGCCCGGGCTGGGATGTGACAAACACACTCTTTCTCATATTTTTATAGTTTTAGAATAGGTCAATACGAATTCAGTCATTGCAATGCAGTGTGTGTTTCCTGATTCTGTTTTTCATATTTGGATTCAGACGTTGTGTTGCAGTGTCCATTTCCTAGTTCTATTTTTTCCATCACTCATCGTGCGACTCTTGATTTTTACATTTCGATTCAATCACTGCAATGCAGTGTTTGTTTCCTAGTTCAGTTTTTACATTATTTTTACATTTAGATTCAGACACATTGCAATGCAGTGGCTATTTCTTGGGTTTTTATTTTTTTTATTTTTTATTTTTTACATTTGGATTCAAACACTGCAGTGTCCTTATCATGGTTCTGTTTTTATATTTTTTTACATTTGGATTCAAACACTGCAATGCTGTGTCCATTCAGACATGTCAATGCAGTGTTCATTTCCTAACTCTTTTTTTTCTTTTTTTCTTTTTTTGACATTTTGATTCAAACACTACAATGCAGCGTCCGTTTTATGGTTCTGTTTTTTATGCAGTATCTGATTTGGGCTTCAATTAAAACCTGTCGAAAACCAATTTGTCTTTCATTTTCCATCCCAAACCTCTAACCCAACAAAAAAAAACCCAAAAAATCAACTTGAACGTTCCAAAAACACGACCCAAATTGAAAATAAACTGATTTCAATTTTTCTATTCTTTCTCCTTCCTCTATCACTTCTTTCTGTGTGAATTCAATCAACAACATCTCCCCTCTTGCTCTCATTGTTATTATGAACTCAATTGGCAACTGCTTGTCTAGCCAATGATCAATGAGATTAGCCATGGATTAATGAAATTCAGTGGCAGATCAATGAGATATAACAGTCGAACGACAAATTTAATGGCGGCGATGAGATTTTCATGCCCATTGCTACAACCGAAGAGATTTTTGTTGATGGCCTTTCAAGTATAGATTCATGGCTTGTATTGATTCATAAATCAACGAGAGAGAGAGAGAGAGAGAGAGAGAGATTTTTATTGGTAGGTTTCAGTTATGGATTCATGGCTTGTATTGATTCATCAACGAGAGAGAGAGAAACATTTGGGTTATTTTCACGTATAGAAAAGAGAGGATTTTTTAGAGAGACGATCATAAAGCTTTTTATGATTTAATTTGGGGCAAAAAAGTAATTTTATAACTTTTATATGGGCTTGAAACCCATGTAACATTCCTGATTGACCTATACCTAATTAACAAAAATATTTCATTGATTAAGTCTAACATAAAAATTGACTATTGATATATGGTTCATTAATAAAAAATTTATTGACCTTTTACTAAATTTCCTTATAAAAAACTGTTTTGACATATTGATTAAAAAAAGGAGTTATAACAAATAGCCCGCGGTACTGTTTATTTAATGAAAAATCATATTTTTACACTAAAAAGTCAATTAAGATACTATTCATTTTACCTTTTATTTTGTCCTTATAGTTAAAACTTAAAGTTTTCAAACTTTTTTCATTTGTTTTTCTAACTAAAAAACTATACATACGGAGTGTTTCCTTTCTCTTTTTCATACATTTCTTCTTATTAATTCTTACTTCTTTGACTATCCAAGTAAATGACAAAGTCGGTTCCTTTTTTTTAGTCCGTCCTGCGTTACTGAGCAAAGAAAAGATCCACCGCTCGTCAACGTGCCCTCTTGGCATCAGTATGGACAGTTATCTTAACCTACCACCCTTGCTTCAGCATGTCCTATGTACAGTGAAAGCAATTAAATGAAGCAATTTCACTATCATGAGACACCTTGATTCAATAATATTTTTTTATTTAGAGAAAAACTTGTATATAATATTGCATTAGTAGATAAAAAAAAGTCAAATAATAATAAACACGTTTCATATAAGTCTTTCTCGTATCACAAATAGTATAATTCTAGAGCAATGTTTTGGTCAGTCTGTAGACATAAGTATGCAGCTGCTATCGCTCGGTTGATGCATATAAAATAAAAAAAATGCATTAGCATTCAAACAAAGCTTCTTTATTTTTCTTTGAAACATTGCACAAGTACTTCACTGATATTTCCGTATAAAAAACAGCTTCATAAAAATTCGAAACATATATAGCTAGCCTTTGTGCCTAATAAGGGCATAAATTATTGATTGGCTAGCAATACAATTATCTTTTATGGATGAGTTACCCTGTGCTCCTCAGGACTGGGCAGCTTGAAGCTGTCTCTTCGGAAGAAGTACCCAATTTCGCACCCTTCAAAAGACCTCCAAGAAGTTGTCCAGGATCATAGAAAAACTCCACCTTAACAATTTTGTTGTGCTCGTCCACCTGTTTGTTTGGTGAGTAAGGAGAAATAATTAATTAATATGGAGAAATATTTTTAAGCCATGTCAGTCTATGATATTACGTGACGTAATAATGAAAAACTTTTCTAGTAAGACTAGTGTAATTACCACATCACATATCCACTTATGATATAGCATATATATACACTTAAGAATACGATATCCTAAAATACAAAAAATTCATTTGTGTTATAACTGGTAAATTAATAACACCGCATAATTATTATGTTTCAGTGAATGAAAATTTTCTTCCTTTTGGTGGGGTTTTAGGGGTCCACCAAAATAGTTAAACGTGTACGCTTGTGTTAATACTTCTTTGATTCTAAAACCTAGATGTAGCTAATACGTGTGTTAAAATTTATCCCCAAGATGAAAGCCTCGTTAAGCTAGAGATTCGGGTTCGAAATCCTCCTTTTGTAACTAAAAATAAAAGTAAGAGCATCGTTGGATTGGCCGAGTAGTTAGGGTTAGAGAAGTACCGTAAAAATGGCCATTCCGAAGACTTCAACCATTTCTCCAGTGGGAGCATGGCCCTTGAAAGAGCCCTCCATATAACCCCAGTGCCTGAATTTGTAGATAATCTCTGGTGGCCCTGAATAAACTTGGAGGACCTCCAACGCAAACCCACGAGGGAATGTTGTTGTGAAAGCCTTGTGGGATGATTCTGCTGTTTCCTCATCTGGATTATATCCCCTGAGTTTCTCAGGCAGTGAGGTCTGAAGCAAAGGGTTATATCCTCCTCCAAGTTTCCCTATTTCTTCAATATTTATGCCTTTCCTTCCTGATCAAATCATCAAAGTACTAATACTTAATAATTATATACTGAAAACATTAAGTACCTAATTAATAAGAATATTGGATTGCACTAGCTACTGGTTAATTATTACCATTTAGACTGAAAGTGTACGTGTTGGGATCAATTGATTTGATATCATCAAGGTTGGACTTATGGAAAAGCTCCATCTCCCATGTCTTTACAAGGTTCTGCACCTCTTCTTCTAGTGACCCGGGTGGCCATATCTGAATTTGACACAGGTTTTAATTGATACATCAAAGGCAATGGTACACCTCTTGTACAAAAAAAGAAAGGGAATGATGAAAATCAAACGCACGCCACAAAATTAATTAGTATATTGTTAATTATCACTACAATTGATAGCAAGCAATCACACACACGCATATATACAGAGAGAGAGAGAGAGAGAGAGAGAGAGAGAGAGAGAGAGAGAGACCTTGGTTCTGCCTTCCTCAAAGAGCTTGTTAACAACATCATAGGTAGGGGCACCAAACTTCCATTGGGTGTTCTTTTCTCCTTCTCCAGTCAAATACGAACGGTACTTGTCTCCCTCAACACCTGAAGATGCCATGTTCAATATAGGGTAGAAGCAAAGACTACTGCTGGATATAATGTTTCACATGTAATTTCTTTCAACAGGGGTCCAATTATATAGGCAAAAAAAGTGATGAAGATAATAGTTAGAAAATAAAATAAAGTTAATAACTTTTGACCAGCTAGCCGAAGGATCATTTTTAAGTGAGGTAATGCTAGAGAGATTAAATTTGAAAACTAAATGATGTGTCACCAATAAGAAATAAGCACGTTAATCAATGCTTAAATAATAATTAAATCATCAACTTTCATGTTTTTTTAGTTTACAAAATTTAATCTATAAATTTAATTTTCCTAGCATTACCTTATTTCTCAAACTTTTTCTTTTTAAGGTTACAGTCGATTTAAAAAAAAATTATTTTCAAACATGAAATATGCTTAAATGCCACTCCATGTTCAGTAATGAACTTCTTCATCTAGAACGCTTATTTGTTGGCTTCAGTTGCAACGACATATTCGGCCTCCGTCGTGGAATCAGCAATTAAATCTTGTTTCTTGCTTTTCCAACTGACAACCCCACCATTCAGAGTGAACACATATCCGGAGTTGGAACTTCTATCATCGACGTTAGATTGGAAATTTGCGTTTGTATAGGCTTCCACTCGCAACTCTGTCGCTCCTCCATAAACGAGGAACATGTCTTTAGTTCTTTTTAAGTACTTAAGGATAGTCTTGACAGCTGCCCAATATTCTAATCCTGAGTTAGATTGATATCGACTAGTAATGCTTACAACATATGCAATATCAGGCCTTGTGCATATCATGACATACATGAGACTTCCTATGGCAGAAGCATAAGGAACATCACTCATCTGCCATATTTCTTTAGGAGTCTTAGGTCCCATGGACTTAGAAAGGTGAATACCATGTCTCACAGGAAGAAAACCTTTCTTAGATTGTTCCATCTGGAACCTACTTAGCACCTCATCTATGTACATAGATTGGGATAATCCAATTAATTTTCTATATCTATCACGATAGAGCTTTATCCCCCTCAATATATCCATACTGTAGTTATGTAGTACCAATTTATCGAACTACAAGGCGGCTCTCAGTATTTATTTTATGTGCTTACATATGATGGACAAAATAATGTGCTTACTTGTGAAGTTCTTCTAAATTTCAATGCCTATTTCTTGGATTTTAACAATGTCACATCCCGGCCCGAGCCCCCACCACGTCCCAGGCTCTATCGTAGCACGATATTGTCCACTTTGAGCCCCAACCACGCCCTCACGGTTTTGTTTCTGGGAACTCACACGAGAACTTCCCAATGGGTCACCCATTATGGAATGCTCTCACCCGAACTCGCTTAACTTCGAAGTTTCGATGGAATCCAAAGCCAGTGAGTCCCCAAAAGGTCTCATGCTAGGTAGAGATGGGAATATACATATAAGGCTTACAGGATCCACTCCCCTGGGCGATGTGGGATGTTACAATCCACCCCCCTTAGGGGTCCGACGTCCTTGTCGACACACTTCCGGCCAAGGATTGGCTCTGATACCAAATTGTCACATCCCAGCTTGGGCCCCCACCACATCCCAGGCTCGACTCCACCATAACACGATATTGTCCACTTTGGGCCCCGACCACACCCTTACGGTTTTGTTTCTAGGAACTCACACGAGAACTTCTCAGTGGGTCACCCATCATAAAATGCTCTCGCCCGAACTCGTTTAACTTTGGAATTCCGATTGAATCCGAAGACAGTGAGTCCCTAAAAGGCCTTGTGCTAGGTCGAGATGGGAACATACATATAAGGCTTACATAATCCACTCTCCTAGATGATGTGGGATGTTACAAACAATGTCTCCCTAAGTTTGAGAGGAGTTGTAGAGTTTGTTGGAAAGTAGAGAGGGGTGTAAAAAGATTTTTTTGTCAAAAATCAAGCTCCTAATATCATATTACATGTTAAGAATTTTTTAGAAAAGTTTTATGTCAACGTCGCTGGAGCGGTTCGTCTGGTAGGTGGTCTACCAAGAAATAGAGTCGTGGTTTGAGATTCTAAGGAAGCGCTGCAAGTGGTTCTTTACCACAGTAGTGAATATGAGTGTTATTTTTGCATCATAATGCTGGTATGAGCCATGTTGATTCTCTAATCTAACATCAAATCTAACAAATCTATCATTTGACCAAAAAAAAAAAAAAAAACAGGAGATTCTAAGGAAGTGCTATGTAGGGCTGTAGTTGCTGAGAATGAAATCCTCATTGAAGAAATAAAGGATCTTGCATGGGCTTATAATTAAGTTTGGAAATTCCCCGTATTGGTTTTATGATATAACCTCAACTTTCTTCATGATATCATAGAAGATTGTCCCGTCCCCTTGTGGGACTCGGCTTCTCTGCCCTCCCAGTTCCTATACACTCCTATCCCCTTCTATTTTGTACGATCACGGTTAAACCAAGTCAACATTTTGCATTGATTTTTTTTATAGAGATAATAAGACAAAAAGATAATGATATAAAATGTTAACGGGGTTTAACCGTAACTGCACAAATAGGAGAGAATGAGAGTATATAAAAATTGAGAGGGTAAAAAAGCCAAGTCCCCACTTGCAACGCCCAACAATCACAAATGCTCTTACGTGTTAAGCCCAACAGCGAGATTCCCTTTACATCACCTCATGTGGATGTGATTAAACCTTTCTTATGTGGTCAGCTTGTGGTGAGACATGTACTGAGAGATGTGAATGTGGTGGCTCATCGGTTACCTCGTCATAATTTACAATGTCGGGGTCCGTCATCTCCGCTTGGCTCTGGGCCTCCGTAGCTTATGCAATGTGTTTACGATGAGTCTGTACCCCTGGTGTACCCAATCAATTATTCAAGATTTTTGGCATTTTTTTTTTTCAAACTTACTCCCATTCTCATTTCAACATAATTAAGAAGGAAAAAAAAACATGGTAGCAAAAGGATTTGCCTATCGTTATAATCATGCTTTTGTTTCGTTTAGTAACTAATTAAGTTACAGTTTGATATCTATAGTTTAAAGGCAAGGTGGTCTACTTTCCGTCTCTTAATAAAAAGGGTTGATCATTTTACTTAGTAATATGGTTTGATTATTCATCTTCACTTATAGGCAAGGTGGTCTACTTTCCGTCTCTTAATAAAAAGGGTTGATCATTTTACTTAGTAATATGGTTTCGTTATTCATCTTCACTTATAAATGAAAGGTCTTAGATTTAAATATAATAGATGGCGAGTTCAAAATCGATTTATTCTCCCAATCCTTAATGTAAATATTTCGTTGTATAAAAAACAATAACGAGGGTTGATCATTGTCATTAATTAGTAATATGATCTAGTAGTTTTCCTTTTCACTTATAAGTAAAATGTCCTAAGTTCAAAATCCATGTATTCTCTCACCCCCTTTATGTAAATATATCGAATATATCGGTGTATAAAAAAACGAGAGTTAATCATTAACATAATGAAATGTGTTTCCATATTTTGAATTCAAATGATGAATTTCGTACAATATATACAAATTCAGCCAAGCTGTATATTGATACAATATACATTAATCACATAGTTGACCTATTCTAAATCTTGAGCAACCTGGAATCCGAGCATGATAAAGGATCATTATTGATGGAGATTTGCGGTAGACTTGCCACGTTCCCCAACAATTAACATGAACATATGTCGCTGTTACTGGTTGATATGAATAGCAAGTAGGTTTGACACTTTGAAGGGATAAACATAAAATTGAGCAATATTACATCACGATTCGTGTTTATTTTGTGCATTTAAATCAAATAAAACAAGGAGAGAAAAAAAAATGTATATACAATATGCATGTTTCAATATTTGCATTGTATAAAAATCCCAGAGTGAATTTGTCGCTCATCTAGATTTCATATTTTACATTCAGGATAATGTTTTACTTATATTTGCTGTGGTCAGCATGCATTAATAACGCACACCTAGTCAAAAGATGTAAAACCACAAGCATTAATATTAAATGTTTGTATGTTAATTATATTTTAAGTGCGGCTTTGCCCGCACTATTATCTTTAGAGAATGACATATATTATATATTATCTAAAATACAAACATATCATTTCAATATATATATATATATATGTATATATCATAAAAGTTTAGCAACATACAACATATCAATTAAAAGTTCAACATATATTATAAAAAATAAAATTACCTACTCGTCATCGCCACTAAGGTTTGCTACTTTTGCACTCATGATACGAGCCCATGACACATGGGTGTTGCGCATTGCTGCTTTTGCAGTCCCGATACGAAATTAAAATTGATTTATAGAAAGCAAAATTAAGGTTTCGGGCTTGGACCTTGGAAGACGTTTTCTTTTATCAAGTCGGTTTTCTTTTATCAAAGTCGGTTGTCTTATTGATCGATTGGACCTTGTACCTCCAACTATGCATTACGCATTAAATACCAGCCGAAGGTGAAGAGTTGAATACACGCGGCAGTGTGAGCAAATTTGTTTTATATAACTATACATGTGCAAAAAAAATTTGTGTCCCTGCCCTGGACATAGTCCCAATTAATACTAGATTAGGGCCGGCTCTGGTTCCAATATGTCAACTATGTTACAATAGTTCTGAATTTATTAAGCACTTTTTTATTTTTTTTGGTGAATTTGTGTAACGTGCTTAGTTTTGGTTTGCTACTCAATTTGGCCCTATTCTTCCGCTTGCGGATTTCTTCTCGAATTTATGACTTGCCTTTGTGTCAAAGCAGTTTTCTCCACAATTCTGCATTGTTTGGTTAGCATCAAGGTTTTTCTTATTATTGGCTATTTGGAAGATGCGTAATAAAGTGAAGTTTGAAAATATGTCTCCTTCCTTTTTATGCATTTTTCGTTTTATTTTAGCCTGGATAAGACAGGTTGGATTTTTCACTCCTGGTCATGTACATGGTATTTTGGATAAGAAACTTTTACTCGTTTTGGAATCTTGGATCCTTCTATAGTTCATGTTCTTTTGCCTTGGGTGAAAGTGAATATGGATGACCTTGCTAAAGGTAACCTAGGTCCTACGGCTTGTGGTGAGGTTTTTTCGTG